AAATAGCTTGAAGTTAATACTCCCCTCCAGGTCCTCCCCACCATTCTATGCAAAACAAAGGACTCTCTCGCGCGAGAAAAAAAAAAAAGGACATTAAGGCTGATTACGCCCAGCTCCCAGCCAGTCCAGCCTCTGGCTGATCTCCAAAATTCCTTGCCCCAGCTGTTTAAGAGATAACTACACTGAACAACCTTGGAGAACAGGCCCCCTTAATACAGTAGCTTTCCACATATATGCCTATATATGCTTACTCTTTTCTTGGGTTAGTGTAGCAGCTCACTCATCTGACTGCTGCCCATTCTCGCCTCATTAAAGTGTTCTGTTCTTTTAAAGTGCCAGTTGTTTTTTTTGAACCTGGCCTTCTCTAACTCCCTTACCCTAGAATGGGATTTTCCACTCCTGGTCTCAAACTCAGCCCCGCTTCATGGGGGAAAACAAGGAATCAAAAAATGTGTTCTCTTTTACAAAGATGATGTTTGAAATTTTAAAGTACTTTCTAACATAGCAAAGAAATACTGATACTTTAAGTAATACTTAAAAAGATTTTAAAGTGGAATTCAGTTTCTCCTCCCTTGCCAGGAATTCATACACATCCTTCCTCCATCCCTAGCCCTCTAAAAGCCCTCCTCTGTCTTCCTCCAAAAAGATGGAATCCAGGGATAAAGACAGGACCAGGAAGGCTCTCCGGGAGAGCTGAATCTCTATTGGTAATGGGTAGCGGATCCATCTTTGGGTCAGGTCATAGGAATGGGAAAGAGATTATGGAATATTTATTGCTGTATCCCAAGTGTTGTTGGATGGCAGGGATACTGAATGATAACTGTCGATGGGGTGTGGTGATGGGCCAGCAACTCGGTGGTAAAAGGATTTACTGAGTCAGAAGTGAGGGTACCGAGTGAGATTTATTGAGTACACTGCAAGGGAGCAGCAGGAGAGACCCAGAAGTGTCTGCCTCCGGTGGGGGAGAGAAACTGGGCTTCTTTTATGGTCCATTCTGGTCACCCTTGGGTTAATGTTCCACCCGTATGGTGGTTAGGGCTGGGTGTGTCATTGCTCAATCTTCCTGGACCACTAACTACTCGTGACTGCTGGTGACTTTTCCTTGAGGGAGGGTATGACTGTCTTATCTTGAAATGACTTCCCGAGCCTAAGATGACTGTTTTATTGTTAAATTCCACAATAACCTCTGGACTGAGAAGGAAGTTTGAGACCCAAAAAATGAAGCAGGCAACTCCATAGAGAGCAATTATGAAATATGTTGTGGGTAATTTGCCTACAGGAAGGATCAGGCAGGCGACCACCAGAGGCATTAGCAGCAATACTCAGCGTTGCTGAAAGAGGTAAGGAGGGTTCACACTGAATTGGTTGATTGAACCCAGGACACTTTGTCTCAAAAGGTGTAAATACTAAAGAAAAGGTGCAAACACAAACCATACCACCAACTGGAACATCTCTTAAGCTGTGCGCTGCACTTCACTAAGGGAGTGGTGAGAGCGCTCTCTGCAGGCTGTTGAGCCCTTTCTGGCAGGGCAGCTGCTTCACGGAGTTGGCCCACCCCTGGAATCCCACTGAGGCTTGATATTGGATGTAATATTAATGATAGCACTTTGTTAAGCCTGTCCTATTTTATTAGTAAGATAAGTGAGTACTCATGTGAGGATGGGCAGCTCGGGTCTTAAGGTCACACACAGGGCTTTGGTAGTCAGGAGCTGTTTTCCTTAAGGCCAATAGCCAGCTAGGAGTTGCCATTTGAAGGTAGTGTTTCTGGCAGCTACCTTTGGTATTCATATGTCCCAAACTCAAGGGGCCTATATATCCAAATAGCAGTCTCTTGTTGCTGTAGGCTCCAATTATCACAGTAAGTCTCTACGATACATAGCTCCAGAGTTGGCAAGCATCATTGGTCCCAATGACGGCCCATGCCAACGCATCTAGCACAACCTCCAGAGTCTGCACAACCTTTAGGAGCCCCATTCATAGATGGCTGTCTTACAGGTAACCTTGCTATAAAGGACACTTGATACCTGTTGCCTCTGATAGCCAAACAGTCCTAACAGTTAGCTTCTTTCTTGTTGGTGGAAGCTGCCAAGGACAGTGGCTTTTTGTTGACTTTATCAGGGATACTCCTCTGATGACTTGCCCAGGTGGCTCATAGAAGCTGCACTTTTGAGCAGGTCCCGCATCTCATCAGGGTTGTCAACCCTCCTGGCATGTCGTAAGATTTGTGACATCATGTAGAGACTGGTAAAGGCCAGCTTGTTGGTCAGGTCAGTAATGAGGATGTCAACACAGTGGATGAAAAGTAGTTCTTGAGAGGGACTTCCCTGCTGGTCCAGTGGTTGGGAGTCCTCCTTACAATGCAGGGGATGCAAGTTCAAGCCCCGGTCGGAGAACTAGGATCCCACATGCTGAGGGGCAACTAAGCTCACACGCTGCATCTACTAAGCCTGCACGACAGAACTATTGAGCTCTCAAAATATTTGTTTAAAACAAGCAATTTTGAGGATAACTGGGTTGTTGCAGATTGAGACCTACCACTGGTGGCATATTGCAGAATGGAGATATTGCTGGACTGAATTGTGTCCCCCCTAAATTAACAGGTTGAACTCCTAACTTCCAATATGACTGCATCTGAAGTTGTAAAATGAGAAATGAAGACAGTGTGAAAGTATCCTTCTTCTTCAAGACAAAGGAAGAATAACCCTAAAAATGACTGAGATCATCAGGGTTACTACTTGTTTCAGACAGACCAGACAACTCCCACAGAATCCACGGGGGCAGAGCCACTCTTAGGTTTGGGAGGAAGACTCCCCTAGAGCTCTATATGAGCCAGTGGATCCAGAAGGTGGACTGTCACCCCTAATCCTGGAGAGCAGAGAACTGAACCAAAAAGAATTATTCTCGAGCCTTAAGATCTCTTAACCAAGTTTTGAACTTGCTCAGGACCGAGCACACTTTTTCCCTTCGGATTTCTCCTTTTTGGAATTAAAATGTGAGATAATATACATTGGTCTCTGCCCCTAGTTCCTAGCACAGAGCCCCTTAAATCCTTGTAATTTTCTAAGTGGTAAGAGCACCAGGAGCACCTTTTGTTCTAATATTTGGCCTTTGACCCTGGTTCCTGACTCAGGGTTCCTGAAATCTTTGTAATTTACTAAGTGATAGTAACATTGCTTTACTTTTTTTGGTCACACTGTGTGGCTTGTAGGATCTTAGTTCCCCAGTCGAGGATTGAACCTGACCCATGCCTCCTGCACTTGGGAGCACAGTCTTAACCGCTGGACCACCAAGGAAGTCTCATCTTTCATTCTAATAAAGCAACTCTGCATAGGTTCCTGGATGAGGGCTGGTCACAGGAAAGAAAACCATGATTCAACCTTGACATTTTCAGCTCCCCCTGCCCCCACCCAGTTCTCTTGATAATGGAGATGCCTGCATGATGAAGCCTCCATAAAAAACCAATAATACCAGGTTCAGAGAGCTCCTCAGAGGGTGACACATCCTAACTCCAGAGACAGCAGCTTTTGTGCTCAGGACCCTCTCAGATCTTACTCTATGTATCCATCCTCATACCCTTTTATAAAAAAACAGTAAATATAAGTAAACTTTACCCGAGTTCTGTGAACCACTCTAGCAAATTAAACCCAAAAGGGGGTTGTTGGAACCTCTGATCTACAGCTGGTTGGTCAATAGAGCAGGTGATAACCTGGGCTTGGAAATACTGTCTAACGTTTGTATGTGTGTGTATCTTGTGAGACCAATCCCTTAACCTGTGCAGTTTGACACTGTCTCCACAGTGTCAGAACTGGGGTAAATTGTGGGACATCCAGCTGGTGTTGCACAGAATTAGTGTGGGGGAAATTACTCACATTTGGTGACCCCAAATGTCAGAAGGGAAATGTTCTGTGAAAATGTTCTGTGTTGCTCGAGTGGTTCACAGAACTCGGGTAAACAGAAACGCAGGAGGGAAGGACTGTGGGTTTTTATCGACATCCAATGTCTACCCTATGAACACCCAGAATTGTATTTGAGAAGCATATAACCTGTCTGGTTTTACAGGTTCACAGCTGGAGGAATTGCCTCAGCTTGAGTTTGACCCATATCTGACTTAGACAATGTTTAGATGAGACTTTGGACTTCAGACTTTAAAGCTAATGCTGAATTAAGACTTTGGGGCTGCTCAGGATGGAATTAATTTATTTTGCAGATGAAAAGGACCTGAATTTCGGGAAGCCAGAGGCAGAATGTATGGACTGAATGTCTGTGTTTTTGAAATTCATGTGTCAAAGCCCTAATCACCATAATCCACCTAAAGGTGATTCTATGTAGAGTTGGGCTTTGGGGAACCCAAAGTTTATGTGGGTAGAGCACTCATGATGGAGTTAATGTTCTTATTGGAAGAGGAAAGGACTTCACTGATGGTCCAGTGGCTAAGACTCTATGCTCCCAATGCACAGGGCCCAGGTTCGTTCCATCCTGGGTCAGGGAACTGTATCTTACATGCTGCAACTAAAGATCCTGAACACTACAACAAAGATCAAAGATCCCATATGCTGCAACTAAGACCCACGAAAGCCAAATAAATAAAAACAAATACGGCAAAGAAAAAAAAGAAGAGGAAGAGACAGCTGCTCTCTTTCTCTGCAACATGAGGATATAGCAAGAAAGCAGCTGGCTGCAGCCAGGACTCAAAAGGATTTGTACCAGAACCCGACTGTGCTGGCAACTTGATCTTGGATTTCCCAGCCTCTGAGGAATGTTTGTTAAGCCACCACTCTATGGCATTGTATTAAGTAATTCCAACTAAGACAGCTGCTAAAGGTATGTCCCTCCCAATACCCTTCCTCCCAAAAAGGGATCAGGCCCAGTTATCTTTACTCTTCAAAGAGTATCTCCCTTATTATGCCAACTCTTCCAGGTAATAAAAGAGAAACAAAACTCCCAAATTAATTCAAGCAAATTGAATCTAGTTCTGTACTTCAAAAATAAGATACAATCACCAGGAGAAAACAGATTTTATTCCAGGAACGCAAGACAATTTCAATTATTTGGAAACCCGCCAACAAAATCGATACAAAAAGAGTAAAGGATAAGACCTATGAAATTTTACCAACAGATTTTTAAAGTTTTTGATAGAACTTAGCATCCATTCCTAATAACTTAAGTATGATAACTGCCTACAGTATGTGTACTCTATATGTCAAGTACTGTTTCAAGTGCCTTACACTTATAAATGAATTTTATCCTCAAGGCCCTATGAGGTAGCTCCATTTGACACATGGAAGACAAAAGGAAGAGCACTCATGGTGGAGTTTATGTTCTTAGTAGAAGGGACTTCCCTGGTGGTCCAGTGGCTTGCCCAAGATTACAGACCTAAGGAAAGTGATGTAGACAGGATTTCAACCTAGGTTTCCAGGCAAAAGATCTGTGCTCTTTACCACTGTAACATATTGCTGCATCTAAAAATAGGAATAGAACAAAACTTCCTTAACACAGTATTTATCAGAAACAATGAGGGTGAGCCACATATACAACTGTGACATGCTGGAAAAAAAAAAAAAACTTTCTGAAAATTAGGAACAAGACATGGAATATTATGCTTTATTCACTGTTCAACTTTTTTTTTTTTTTAATATTTGTGCTGATGTTCGACATAAGTGGCATAGAGATTAGAAATTAAGAGAACACTAATCATTACTGTTTTATTGTATACCTAGAAAAGATAGGAAATCAAACTAAAAAATTCTTCAAACCAAAATTAATTAAATGAGGTAACTGGATCCAAGTAAAAAAAATTTTTTTAATCAGTTAACTTTTAAAATACTAGCAATAGCCAATAGAAATTGAGATGTAGCTTTCAAATGTAGCTCCTATACCTCCAACCAAGAGCCTGAGTGCTTTCCTAGGAAGTGAGGACATTCATTTCTATTGAGAACCTACTGGTGCTGCTGGTGATCAGCTCACAGAGTTATGAGCAGTGCTGAATCTGTCCTCGCAGAGACTCAGTGTGGTAGGGTATGAGCAGAACCAGAAGATAATAAATTAAAACATTCAACAGACAAGAGTTTCTACTTAAGATATGACCAGCCACATTCAAATTAGAGTTGAGGGCTGGACCTGTGTGCTCATATGAGGTCTCCCCTGGAACCTGGGAGTTTCCAAAGTAAAACACTTTAAAAAAAGAAAGTTCTGGATCTTAAAGGTTCAAGGGACACAGACTAGCAAACAGGAAGAAAAGCTTTTCTTCGTAGAGAACACAAGTGGTGAGGGTCTAGATTAAAGCAAGCTTTAAAAGGGCCACACTCAAGAGGTAGGAAGAATGACTCAGTCTTAGAGGATCACTTATATAAATGGTAAAATGGAGGAGGTGGAATAGAATAAGGAAATATCTCTATCCTTGAGAATGTGATTGTGGCATGCATAACTGAGTCAGATGTTAATTATTTTAAGAAGTGAAAGGGAATTCCTTGGTGGTCCAGTGGTTTAAGCAGTCCAGGACTTCATGCCTTCATTTCTGAGGGCACAGGTTCTATCCCTGGTTGGGGAACCAAGATCCTGCAAGCTGCCTGATGAGGCCAAAAAAAGAAAAAGAAAAAGGAAACCTATAAGCACATGAAACATGTAGTCCTTATTTCCCCAAGAGGAGGTGGAGGATTGCATTGTAACTCTAACTCTCCCACCTTTGTGACCAGCAGCGAGCATTTGGAGATGGTCCATATTTTTTTTTCTAATTTTTTTTCTTTATGGTAGCCACGCTGTGTGGCATGTGGAATCTTCATTCCCAAACCAGGAATCAAAATTCATACTCCCCATTTTGGGAGCTCAGAGCATTAACCACTGGACCACCAGGGAAGTCCTGGGATGGTACACATGGAACAGGTGGTTCCAAGCAGAGATCAGGATGAACATATTTATATAGAAACCTTAACCTAAAGTTTCTTGCTGTCTTAGAGAATCATGTCTTAAGAAACAGACCGAGCCAGACCTGAGTGCTTCTTTCCAGTGTGAGTTCGCTGGTGGTGATTGAAAGTAGAACGCTGACTAAAGGCTTTCCCACACTCAATACATTCATAGGGTTTCTCTCCAGTATGAACTCTTTGGTGCACGGTGAGTTGTGAGCTATCACGAAAGGCTTTCTCACAATCTTTGCATTTATAGGGCTTCTCCCCAGTATGGGTTCTCTGATGTACCATAAGGCTAGAATTATGAGTGAAGACCTTTCCACATTCATTACACTCATAAGGTTTCTCACCAGTGTGAATTCGCTGATGAATAATGAGGTACGAGTTTTGATTGAAGGATTTTCCACAATCATTGCATTTATAGGGCTTTTCACCAGTGTGAAGTCGCTGATGTCGAGTGAGACATTTACTCAGACTGAATGCCTTACCACACACATTACATTCAAAAGGTTTTTCTCCAGTATGAATTCGCTCATGGTCAGCAAGTTGAGAGATCTGATTGAAGGCTTTCACACATTTGCTACACTTGTATGGTTTTTTCCCAGTGTGGAGACTCTGATGTCGAGTAAGACATTTACTCCGACTGAAGGCCTTGCCACATTCATTACACTCATAAGGCTTCTCCCCAGTGTGGATTCTCTGATGGTCAATAAGATTTCTGTTAGAACAGAAAGCTTTCCCACATTCATCACACTTGTAAGGTTTCTTACCAGTGTGAAGTACCTGATGGCGGATAAGGCTTTTACTCCGACTAAAGAGTGCTCCACACTCATTGCATCCATATGGTTTCTCCCCAGTATGAGTTCTCTGGTGGTCAAAGAGTTTGGAACTTTCATTGAAAGCTTTTCCGCATTCATTGCATTTATATGGTTTCTCCCCAGTATGAAGTCTCTGGTGTTGAATGAGATGGGAGCTGTGGCGATAGGTCTTTCCACAATCACTGCATTCATAAGGTTTTTCCCCTGTATGGATTCTGAGGTGGACAATGAGTTGAGAGGTCTGCCTAAAGGCCTTGCCACACTCAGTACACTCATATGGTTTCTCTCCAGTGTGGATTCTCTGATGCCCAATGAGGTGTGAACTCCAATTAAAAACTTTGCCACATTCATCACATCGATATAATTTCTGTCCCTTCAGAACTCCCTGATGTTCTGAGAGACTGGAGGACAGATCTAGATGTTCCCCAAGTTCCTTATACTCATCACATTGATCCTTTGTAGATTTCTTTTTATCCTCCTGTGTTATCTCTAAGAAATCCCTTTCCAGTCTGGTTCCTTCTTCATCTGAGGGTTGAACTTTTAGTTTCTCTAAAGCTTCTTCACAGGCAGCCCCAGCTTCTGGTCCTCCAAGAATAAGTCCACAAAGTATGCCTGAGGTCCTGTCAGCTGACTTTGACTCTTCAGAAATGTCCTGCTTCTGAGACAACTGTGAACTTGCCATCCTGTTTTCACCTGCTGCCAAAAGACAGAAGAAAATAACTGTCACTCACTTCTTGTCCTATTGAGGAAATGAACTGTCAGAAGTCTATGTAGCTTAAAAAAAAAAAAAAATTCACATTGAGGGTAAGGAATAAGGAGACATATTGAGAACAGGAGGGAAAAAGCAGAGCTATCAGGACAGAAGGATGTGGAGCCAGCACAGCCAGGTGAGCAGGCCAGTTGAAAGGCAAGAGACCAGACTGTAAAGCACAGTGTGATCTCCCAGAAGTCACTTAGATGTGGTGTCTCCTTAGTAAAATGATGAACTCTCGGGTCCACTCCAACCATGACACTGTATGGCTCCACAGTTCACAGCAAAGATGTTGAGGAGAGTGATGCCAAATACTTTAAATATGAGAAACATGTAGGCAAACATGAGAGTTGAAGGGAAATGTGTATTACGAGGGCATGATCAAGAAAAAGTGCACAAAAAGGAGTGATTCTGGTATGAAAGAATAGCAATGATATTTGGAGAAGCCATGGGTTCAAAAAGGCTGAGAAAAAGTACTGAAGGAGAGAGTAGAGCTCTAAAATTGGTGACATCCTAGTCTCTGGAGCACTGGACTAGGAGGTGCCAGTAGGCACTCCTATGAAAATTAACAAAGGCAATAATTTGAAATACAAACCAAAGTACATGTTTTGTAGCTTGATAACCTGGAATCATAATGAGACTGAACAGCTGAGTATTTGCTTTTGAATTCTGGAATTTAATAAAGAAGCTGGGAAAGGCAGAGCATCCATGGTCATAGGTAAATACAAAAATATTGGTCCCTTTCAATCACATCTTAACCAGGCCACAAGCTATCATACCATCTCAGCATATGGAAAATGAAAAGTATCTGGTCCTTTAATTCTAAGCCTACCCTCTCCGGAGTAGGCTACTGTCCTAGACCAGTTAACCCCAGAACCTCCCCTGACAACAGCCCCTTTCAGGAAGCAGCCCTGCCCGAGTCTTTCTGAAGGGGAAGCTGAGAAAACCATGTTTTGTGCAAAGCAACCCAGATCATCCCAGGATGGACGAGGACCAGGACTAGGTCCTGGACCAAGGGACCAGGGCCAAGCACCAGACCCAAGTGCAGCTTATAGAGTAGTCATCAGTTCTGGGTGACCTGGAACAAAGTTCTGCCCAAAGAAATATGATATTTAATAGCTGAACCACCAATGGGGTCCCTTTCTACATAAATTCTGAACTGAAAGTAGGACAAAATGAAGGAAATTACAAGTAGTAGCTCAAGTTGATACGATGCATGGAGAGAAGAAATCCATCAGGAACCAGAGCAAACATATGAGGAAATAGGAGGTCTAATTAAGAAAGAGCTTGGAGGGGGACAAAAGATTCAGAGTAAAGAGAACGGCCATCAGTGGGAACAGAAAAACAGATACACAGGACACAGCTGTCTTACAACACTGCTGTAAAAATCCTTTCACTTCTGCTGCTGGGTTGGAAAGATCGCTTGGAGCAGGGAAAGGCTACCCACTCCAGTATTCTGGCCTAGAGAAATCCATGGACTGTATAGTCCATGGGGTCACAAAGAATTGGACACTGAGCGACTTTCACTGTCACTTTTCTGCTGCTGAGGCTCCCAGGTCCCCACAAAGCTTTGTTTCCCAAAGCCTGGTCTAGCTGGTGAGTCTGTGCAGGGTTTCCAATCCTTCAGCCTTATTCTAAGTAACTTAGCTCATGACTTAGAGTAACTGAATGGCTCTCTATTCCTTCCAACTACAAACTCTTAACTAAACCAGCTCAGTTCAATTAATAAGGAAGTACAGAGAATGTTAATAACTATCAAAGTGAGCGATGATGTAGAGAGATTCATTATACTATTCTTTCCATTCTCTTTATATTTTCATAATTAAAATAATAAGAACATAGCAAAGAAAATGTAAAGAAGGCAGACTCTAAGTTACTAGGGAGCAGAGTCTTACCCAATGGGGCCAGGCTGCAGCAGTTTTCCAGCATGATGTTCCAGTACAGGGCTCTCTAGCTGAGTGCTGTACCTTTCCACTTCTTCAGAGTATAGTTCACAGACAGAAACTCCAACTGCAGCCTCCTGTAATGACAAGCTTCTACTGCTCAGGGACATTTGCAGCCTGAGGAGCAGAGTCAACAGCGTACCAAGACAGGGTTGAGACCCTGGTGGCCAAAGGTGTGGGGGGACAGAAAGAAGCTGGGAGGACACATTAATAAAAGGACAAGTTCAGGGTAAGATAACAGTCCGTGAACTCAGTGGATGGGACCAAGTCCAAGGGAGGCAGTTAGGAAGAGAAGTCACAGGTGCAGACTCTGAATGGGCCAGAGCCCTGGAGATGAGGTCGTGCTATTCCTGGGCCACAGACTTGGAACCCAGGAAGCTCACCTGGGGCCTGACCATCTGGAAAATTCACTGGAAATTCAAGGATTTCAGCACAATGAAGAAAAAAAAAAACCTTGAAAAAGAAAATTAAGTTGAAGAACTCACACTTCACAATTTCAAAACTTACTTGACAAAACAGCACTGATCAATACTGTGTGATACACACTTAGATCAGTGAAATAGGTAAAGAGTCCAGAAGTAAACATCTACAGTTAACTTTTTTTTTTCTGGCTGCACTGCGTAGCATATGGTATCTTAGTTCCCCAACAGGGATTGAACCTGTGTCCTCTGCATTGGAAGGACAGAGTCTTAACCACTAGACCACTAGCGAAGTCTCCTAAGGTCAACTTACTTTTTAAATATATTTTAAATTTATGTATGTATTTTATTTGGCTGCACTGGGTCTTAGTTGCAGCATGTAGGATCCAGTTCTCTGACTAGGGATCAAACCCGGGCCCCCTGTATTGGGGGCATGGAGTCCCAGACACTGAACCACCAGCAAAATCCCCGTCAACTTATTTTTTATGGAAGTCCCAAGACCACTCAAAGGGGAAAGAAGACACTTTTCAACAAATGATGCTGGAACAACTGGATATACACATAACAAAAAAATGAGGTTACATCTCTACCTCAGTCCATATATGAAAATTATATGGACAGTAGGCTTTGGCACGTGTTGCAAATTGGCCCCACTACTTTGTGTACCAAATCATACATGATAGCTAGATTCCCCTGAGAGCATGGAACCCTCCAACTCCCATCACTTTTAAGCAAATTTTTAAAAAAATCACTATCCTCATCCATGATTAAAACAGAGACCATCACCTACATTTGCTACAAACAAACGCCTAGTCCATGTCTCCTGGACTCAGTGCGCGCTGGGAGGACTGACAAGACATGACCGCCAACTGAAATGGGAAGAAGGCTCACACCAGAATGCTTGTCACCACCCAGATAAAAGAAACTGCAGTGCTGTTACAGGGTCATGGACAGTCAAGTGAAGAACTACTTTAGGATCGCGCATGATGAGTAAGTTGAAGTTTGGGCAGAGAAATGAAGCTTTGCTATGAAAGAAAAAGGCAGGGCCTTTGCCAGATAAATTTGCAGAACAGACTGGGGAAGAGAAAGATGCTCAGGTGAAGAGAAATACAGGAGTAAGACTCAAGAGGATGAACTGGAGACCAGAGAGAAGTATTTTGAAGAAACTTATCCAGGAGGAAATATAAAGCACCGACACATCTTAGTGAAATAAGCGCCAAACGTAAGCTTCCAAGCTGACCTGTTGTGGAGCAGTTGCTGCATAAATGTCCAAAGAGGTCAGTGAGATATTTGTAAAGAAATGATGCGAAGGACCAGTAGAAAAATGACGGCAACTGCCTGTGACTATGGCAAAATACAGTCCTTTGAGCCCAGCCTCTGCAATCATGAACATGTATAATGACCGCTAATGACCGCTTCTGCCATGAGAGGACAAAGCAAGAAGGCCATCTATGAACCAGGAAGCAGGTTCTCACCAGACACCTAATCTGCCAGCACCCTGACAGTAGACTTTCCAGTCTCTAGAACCATGAGAAATAAATTTCTGTTGTTCATAAGGCATCCAGCCTATGGCATTCTGTTACAGCAGCCCAACCAGATTAAGACTTTGAGAAAGAGCTTTCTTTAAATTTCTATTTATCAAAGTCCCAGAGTTAAGCCTGGCCTGGCTAACACATCTCTTTATGAACCAATCACTGTGACGAGGTGATAAAATGCTCTGATGGGTCACATCTGAGTCACTATCTGCCACTGGAATATCCTGGAAGGGGAATTGAATGCATCAAAACCTCAGGAGCACATGGACTGAGAGTGGGGACAGTAGTTCTCCCCAAGTTGAGATGATATAATCAACAGAAAGGGGCCTGTGTGCCAGACAGACAGAAAGAAAACAGACATTGCTACCAAACCAACTTGGGTCCACTTGCTCTGATGCAGTAAAGCCAACGTACTGACACTAGGTTGTGGTGAAGGAAAGAGCAGCATTAAAAAAAAAAGCTAATGACCTCCTGGGCCTTTCAAAGTCTGAATGAAAGCCACATAGCACAGTATACAAAGATGGAGGCCAGTGAGCTGAAACTGCCCAATTAAATTCAGGTATCCTAATGCCTCTGGGTTCCTCCCAGGTCCCAACCAGCTTTTGAGGACAGAAGAAAACATCAACTTTTTAGGATGACACCATAAATATGAGCCCCCAGGCTGGGGAGCAACCTGAGATAGATCAGGGCTCTTCTTCCCAGCTTCATCCCTTCACTCAGTTTCATTCCCAAATGAAAATGGCCTGGAAAAGAACCAAGGAAATCCCCGGGCAGTTTTCAGGAATATTTTCTTCCTTCTGTCATTTGCTTTAATACAAAGTAATTCTGACTTCCTTTTAAAAGCCTCTTAAATAAGTAGTCTCTTATTCTTGTGTTTTTCCTGCTAGTGAGAGGGTGTGTGCTGTGTTTAGTTGCTCAGTTGTGTCCAACTCTTTGCGATCCCATGGACTGCAGGCTGCCAGATTCCTCTGTCCCTGGGCATTCTCCAGGCAAGAACAGTGGAGTGGGTTGCCATTCCCTTCTCCAGGGGCTCTTCCCAACCCAAGGATCAAACTCAGGTCTCCTGCATTGTAGGCAGATTCTTTACCAACTGAGCCACCAGGGAAGCCCCCAGTGACAGGGTACATAAGGTTTATTTTATACAGTGATAATATGCAAACTAGTTTCTAAGATAATTAGAAACTAAAGCAAGACTGCTTCTGCTGCTGCTGCTGCTAAGTCACGTCAGTTGTGTCCAACTCTGTGTGACCCCAAAGACAGCAGCCCAAGANAGAACGCTTATTTTACACACTGGTAAGCAAGTTTCTAAGACAATCAAAAACTAAAGAAAGACTGCTTCTGGTACACATTTAAAACGCTAAAACAAGGACTGCCCTGGTGATCCAGTGGTTAAGAAACCACGCTTCCAATGTAAGGGGCAGATGTTTGATCCTTGATCAGGGAACCCCACATACAACACAGCCTGGTGTGGCCAGAAAAGAAAATAATAAAAGTATTTTTAAAAAAAACATTTCAGTGTTAAAATGATATTTACACCAATTTGCTAGTTAAGAAATGAGCTCAACCTAGTGCCCAAAATTTGGTTTCTCAATACCATTCAATAATGAATGAAACCAGGAATCCTTGCAGAAATGGTTGATTCCAGGGTTGGGGGAAATGAAAATACAAGATGTATCTTGTGATGCCTTAAAAAATCAGAGAAAGGCACAAAAAAGGATGGGAACGTCTAAGGGGAAACAGGTGCTTTGACTTGAAAGAGCTCCCAATAGACAAAGCTAGAATAATTTAAGCCACAAAATAAATAATATACTTCAATAAACCCCCAAAATAAATACCCAACATCACACACTGATGTAACTGATACAATTAAGTAAATAAACAAATGGGAGAGAAGGCACAACTCTTCTTCACAAAGAATTCCAGTTCATAGGTGTAGAAGGAACAGAAATGAAAGGCACCTAGAAGAACATCACAATAGTAACTGCCTCAGGCAAGATCCACCAAGAAATGCTAATTAGTAGGTGAAAGTTGAGAAGAAAGAATATTTCTATGCAGTCTCAAGGTGTCTTATCTCAAAATAATTGCCAATTACAAAGGAAAGACAGTAACTTTACAGGGTTGATGCTTGGCGAAAATACTGGATCAAGAGTAATATCAGTGAATGGACATGTGGACACAGCAGAGGAAAGGGACGGACAGGATGACTTGAGTAGCATTGACATAGACACACTCCATGGGTAAAACAGCTAGTGGGAAGCGACTGTATACCACAAGGGTGGGAGGGAGGCTCAAGAGGAAGGGGAAGTATGTATACATAGACCTGATCCACTTTGCTGCACGGTAGAAACTAGAACATTGTAAAGCAATTATACTTCAATAATATTTTTTAAGAGTAATATCACCAGTTAAAAGACATATCGACATCATCCTCAATCTAAGGAGAGCAGCGGACAAAACCAAACTGAGAGGATCATTCTAAAATTACAAATACAAAATACTTCAAAACGGTCAAGATTGTGAAAAACAAGTAAAACTGAGGAGCTGTCACAGACTGAATGGGAGCTAGAAGACATGACAATTAAATGGAATGAGAGATTCTAGACTGGATCCTAGAACAGAAAAAGAACATCAGCAAGACAGTGAGGAGCTCTTGAGAAATCAGAACTGTAATTACTAGTACTGGACCACTGTAAATGTCTCAAGTTTGGTGACTGCACTATGTTTATGCAAGATTCTACCTTTAGGCAAACCAGGTAAAGATATAAGGGAACTCTATAGAGTTCTGACACCCTCTGTGAGTCTACAATTACTTAAAATGAAAAGGTTTTTTAAATTGAAGATGAGTTGTTTCTCTTTTTCTTACTTTTTTTCTAGATGAGTTGTTTCTCTTTTTCTTACTTTTTTTCTATCTTAGATACTAAGGATTAACTTGGTGATCAGGGATACTGAATACTGTCAATTGTTATCTAAAATTTGAACTCACTCTTTCATTAATTCAACAAACATTTACTAAGCACCTATTACGTCCCAGACACTATGGTCTCTGTAGTGAATAAAGCAGACAAAACATACTGCTTTGAGCAGCTTATAAGATAGACAATGAGACAGAAACAGTACCAGGTGCTATGTAGTAAAATAAAATAAGGAAGGAGGGTAAGAAAGCTAAGATCAGGGAAAGAAAAGTATAAGCTCAAAAATTCAATCTTGGGAAGCACAGGATGACTCACCAGAGGAACCTCCTTTCAGGTGTTAAAAATACTGAAGACTACAAAGTAACAGAGTTACATTTTACCACATTTCCAGTGTTTCTGCTTCAGAGCATGACATCAGACTGCCCATGCATTAATAATTCCAGATACCAGAAGCCACAGAAAAAGTAACAGTGGCACAGCTACTATTTTTCATGATTTTATCAGTTTCCCTTCCTTGTAAGTATACACAGGAGTTTATCATTCCCATCTTTTTGGCTTTTCTCATCAAAAATTGTCAGTCTTTCCTCAATCTTAAGAACATGTAAAGCAGCCTCATTCATCGGCCCCTGAAAACACACACAACTACACACACATGTATAATAGATGGAAAGATCCCTGAA